CAAGACCACTTAAGTATGAAAAGGCACTGAGAAGAAGTTACTAGTCTTTTGAGCAGATTGTGTAATTTGAACCTAATCTAAAGCATTTTTAGGGTGCTAATCATAAAACCATGAAAAAAAACAAAAGAAAAAAAAAAAATAAAACAGAGAAAATGTCATTGCTGTTTAACTGGAACTTACTTCAAATATTTTTTCTGTACCAAACCAGTTAGACACTGTAGACATACTTACACACTGATCTGCAACCCCTACCTGTGATGGTGTACTTGTTCCCATTAAAGTTCCTACAAAAAGATTTTTTTTTTAGGTAAATAAAGTACTTTGCTACAATCTTCACTGTTTTCCTTACGTACACAAAAAATGTAATAGTTGGAAAAGTACAAAAGGGTATAAAAGTTGATATAGCCTCATCTTATCTCAAATGCTCTTAAATCATAAGTTGTTAATGAGATAGCCTGTGTGGTAAGAATAACTAAATACTACTTTACTCTTGTTAAAATTCAGCATTCACTCTGACTAATGGGGATACTTTTCTAAATCAGAAAAAAAAGATAGTTTTGAATAGTTTGTGAGCTTTCTCCTGAACTTTGAAATATATCCTGGAGAACAGTAGCTTTTTACTTAAAATGCCAGATTCCATCTGACTGATTTCACATCTATTTTTAATTAAACAATTAAACAGTAATTTTCTACCAAACTACTAGTTAATTTTTATCTTCGCAATATAACTTAAATAAGCTTCTTATAAAAATGACAATGATATGTTGATTTACATTCTTTAAATTTCAGGTTGGAAAGCTTTCTCACTATCCCTATATTCTCATCCAAGCCCTGAAATATTCAAACCCTTTCTACTGACTGCCACACACATTCATTTTTTTCCAGCTGGATCCTGAGGATGAAGAGAAAATTTAATATTAGCTTAGAGATTATTAACTTGAAAGGAGAAATGGGCATATTTTGAAATGGCCCTCCCCATCAGTCAAAGAGACACTTGCACTGCCATTAATGAGAATAAAAAAAAGGCAAACTCCAGCTCTCCCTTTCGAGGATGTCTCATTAAAATCCTCTTATCTTGTTGAATGGTTTCAGCGTCATTGGAGCAGCAGCTTACATGATAATGACTTTTGTGACACTGTAGCCATTCTTGGCATATTATATTCCATATTTGAAAGGTGATTTAAATAGCTTTTAACATTAAACTTTCAACAGTTTCAGGAGGCCAGCATGTACCAAGGAAAACCAGAGAGCTAGACTGTACCGCATTAGGCGAAACAATTAACCATAGTACACGTTTTAAGATAGTAGGACATTTTTGCCTTTTTTTTACTTAGCTGAAAACAACAGCAGTTCTGGTGCCACAAAACTTTACTCTCAACAAGTATGGATGCAGCTTTTCCCTGAGCGGTTACTTCAGGGTAATATTGAAAGGTTTTATTTGTCATAACTACACTAGATTCTGTTACTGTTCATTGAAATATATCAATGAAGACTCATCTTGGGTCTTCAATCAACTATATGAGGGCAATGTTTGTAAAACTCAAGTTAGTTTGGAACCCAATTTACTGGTCCATACTGGTCACTAAAGTGTCTTCTTTTAGTCTACAGACATCAGCTATTTTAACTATAGGCACTGACATACCACAGGACTCTATCTTCATTTGTCATCATAAACTATACATTCAGAGTGTTTTTTTTTCCATAGATAGCAATGTACAGGACAGAAATAATGCTTGTTCCTTGCTACTGGGGTGTGTCGTAGGTACGATGGGGATATTTTTGATTTACGCCCAATTTTGAACCATGATCTGCGCTGTTCGACGCCACAATGCGAGAGGGACAATAACAAACTAGCTAAGATTGTGGGTGTCCGTGTGTCGGTTTGAAGAGCTGGTTCACCATTTGCCACCCCTCATCCAACGCTGGACAATACACAGTACACCCGTGAGTGTTCCCGAAATACTGGCCTTGGCGCTGTGTGTTTTGGCTTCGGGTGCAAACCAACCGACCGTACAAACTAACGTCCTGCACAGTGTGTGGGATAGTGTGCGAGGTATGCCAGACGTTGTGGACGGCACACCAGGGTTTCTGCCATTAGATACCAAACAGGAAATAAGCATAGTTTAGAGCAGATGTAGAATTGACCAATCAGAGGCCTCCTTTCTCTCCTCCCTGCGATGCTATCTGCTGCACTGTCTGCAATCACCTACAATTTTGGGAAGGTGCAAAAGTGTCTGTGGAAGGGGGGGCATATCTGCGTTAACTGCAACACACATGCAGACGACCTGGTTTCTGAACATAAACCAGGCTTTGAAAACTTCTAATCTTTAATGTGTTGCTTTCAATTTGGATTAATATGTCTGTCACGGCTGCATTCCTTAGTGTTTTTTTCTTGTAGTTGTTTAGCAGACAACATTTTTCCAAAGGCGATCTGAAAGTCCCTTTGGATACATTATAAGCCTTGTCAAACATGATTTCAATCTGTTGGCTCTACAACCTCCTTATACATGTTATTGCCAAAGTTTAAAAATATGAATAGAAAACCATCTGCATTCAAATACAATGCTGTACTTTTAGACAAATAACATGAAAAGGGCAAAGGAATTAGTTTAAGTGATTCAATGACAAAATATCTGTGGACTGTAACTTAACTAAAGATCTTCAATCAAATAAATAAATGTACAACAAATTGATTAAATATATGGTATACAATATTAATAATTTATTTATTTTGTTTTTATAGCTTTGTTTAAAAATCTATTTTTATGATTTGACTCTTGTGGATTTAGATATTTCAGAACAAACTAGGGTAATAGAAGATGGTGTTTCTCAACTAGAGTGTGTGGTAAATATATTTTAACAGTCCACCCTCCTAGCAAAAAGACTGAGCTCAAGTCAGAGCAAACACTGAGAGGAAATCTAAAAACCAGTGCTGCATAACAGCAGTGCTCCAGATCACAAGGTGGAGATAATAAGCTATATAAAGGTACGTTTTCCATTAAATCTGTCTTAAATGACCAATCTCTCTTAGTATCCCATTCATGCCTCTGGTATCAAATGTGTTGATATGTTTTTCTTTGCATGTGCATCAGTCTGGTTTTTATGTTTGCAGTACTTTTTGAATTTGTTAATTTAAGTATTTGCACAACATTTGCTTAACACCTCAGCCACAGTTTTGTCTTTTTTTCAACAAATCACACACTCCACCATTCCCCAAAAAACAGGAAACAGAGAAAGTGTTGGAGCGATCACAGGGTCAAAACACTATTTGTTTATATCCAACTCTTTCCTTTCTTCAGCATAAATATTCAATGAAACATATTTGATTTTTATATATATACTTTCTATCTTCTGGCTGTAAAGAAATATATTCTTCCAGCTCTAATGAAATAGAGGTCCCTCTGCTAATACACATGGAAAAGGTCACTGAAGGATAAAGTAATGCCACAGTGGGGAGAATTACACAAGTTGATTATAGATGAAAAAGCCAATATCCAACATTTATATATCAAAAAGGGCTTTTGACATAGATTGGATTTTTGGTTATCAAAATGCAACTTTTCTCCTTTTGTCTTTTAAATTATAAGCCATGGCCAAGCAACAGAATATATTGGACAGAACTCACTTTACCTAATAATCTCTACAAAATGAGAATCTCTTTATATTGATTCAGAATCCCAGCTTATGTCAATATTATGGTATATCTCCCATCAGTTCCAGCCTCGCTGGGAGTTCACTGCTCTGCTTTTCAGATGCACATTGTTTACACACCGGAACAGGTCATTGGACTGGAGGAGCTTTAGCTGCAAGAAGCTGACAGCTCACCCACCTAAAAAAAAACAAAAAAACTCAGCAAATAGACTGAAACATTGCTGCTTCATAAGTGCAGGTTTGTGCATCTAAAATGGTCATTTGTAAAAATGAAATAAATAAACACATTTTGATTCAGAGATCCATCCATCCATCCATCCATTATCTGACACGTTTGTCCCAATTGGGGTCGCGAGGGGTGCTGGTGCCTATCTACAGCTGTCAATGGGCGAGAGGCGGGGTAAACCCTGGACAGGTTGCCAGTCCATCGCAGTGATTCAGAGATGTTACTGATTATTTTTAAGGTCATCTAGAGGTCAAATATCCCCCCATGAAGCTCCGAATTGAATATAAATTATCTACTTCTCCATTACTACTGTATTTCAGCAGGTAAAACTGTTGTTTGTTCTGATGTTGTTTTTAAGATAGAATAATTTTCTAATTTCAGCTGATGATGTCACCATCCGACCAGACATTAGCCTTGAGCTAATTTCCTCATATAAAAGTATTGCATAACATCACATGTCATTCCTGTGCTGGTATTGAATGTAACAGTAGGCTTGTTTACCTTATTTAGTGGTTGGAATGATTGTTTAATATTTATTAAACAATCAGCCTCCCAGACCCTTCAGTTTGGACCTGCCGTTACCCCTGGCAACACCATAGCATTTCCCGTCAAGGTCTTGTTGTCGGTGAATCACATTAAAGGACAGGTGAAACTTAACTTCAAGGAATGCTGCTAAATTGTTCTCTGTGAACAACTTTTGAATCGGCTTGGGAAAAACATTTTTTTTTTTTTGGAAAAGCCCCAGAATCAGAAAAAAAGAGTCCACTTTGATTCATCCAGAGCTGATGGTGGAATTTAGCAGGACTTCCTTGTGAATCCATGCTGGGTAGTGGGCAGCGACTGACCAGGGGCTTTGCTGGAGTTAAGGGAGGATGATGAACAATCCCTCAAGGGCTAAATTAAAACAGCTTTTTTTAAAGCCACCTATAAACCTCTTGAGAGCATTCATTATTTCTACCTTTGTTAACATTATTTTCTCTGTATTCCATTTTAACTGAAAAAAGCTTTTCCTATACCCAGCCCCTGATTAGTTGCCGCTTCATTATTTCATGAAAAAGTTCAGATTTTTCTACTTCAACAGTCAGTAAAAGTGGATAAAAACTTTGCTCTTCGGTTTATTAAACTTCACCTTCTATATGTACAAATGTTTTTTTTCCACAGGACACATAAAATAGTACATCTTTAAATAATGTCTTTGGGAGTGTCTGTGGACATATCCAGCCCCGGTAATGGTACAGTGATGGTTGAAACAAACACACATTTACAAGAGCTTAAAAAAAAAGCAAAAAAACAATCGTTTTTGATTTTTTTTTCTGTAAGAAGTCATTGAGAAAGACAGATTTTCTTTTTCATAGGGCCTGTTAGTTCTGTAACAAGATGAATATTTGAAAGCATTTATTTCAAAAACTCAATCATGCAGTTCCCTGAGGTCAATGAAACTATTAGCAGCAAGTCTGAGGACAGTGACAAGTGAGCCATGTTGCTATTTTAGCAGTGCAGCTCTTTCACTTCAGTGTTTCTTTTAAATTGACATTTTAGATCTTAATAAGCATGATTTAAAAAAGCTCCCTGAACTGGGCCATCCTTTGGTCATAAGCAGTCCCTGCACAATGCAACCTGTCCTTTTTGGTAGTCCCTACATGGGCAAAGGCGTTTGTATTTGGGACTAGAACCAGCACAGCTAAACAATAGAGGATCGTGCTGTAGGCTGCATTCAGCATGCTCTGCAGAGAAGGCAGGAAAGAGGTGGTTCATCTCAGATTCTACTCCTTCACATTGGAGGTCCAACCTGGGCAGAGAAGGAAAAAGATAAATGAAAATTCTTTAATATATTTGACATTAATGCCTGCACAAACGCCTTAGGAGATCCATGATTATTTGACATACATATTTATTATTTATGTTACAGTGCTTCCTTCAGACACTCTCAGGCAGAGAGGAAATTCTAACCCGTTGGGTTGAGCTGAGAGCATTTTCCCTTTTTAAAAGTACATGTCCAAATGAGGCATGAAACCATTTGCTGTGTTTTGTTTTAGAAATTTGTTTTGTTTGCTGTTTTAGATCTATGAGATTAATTGAGAAATGGGTTAAAAAGAAAACATAAATATAACCTAATGTTTTAAATCATGCTTTAAAGAAATGTTTGCATTATTTCCTTATTTATATCATCCAATCTAATTATTTCATGCCCTTGGTAAAGGGGGTTCCTTATAGCATTTCCTTATAAGTTACATGTGGTAAAATGTTCCTCAAATCTCTATATATTTTTCATAAACTATCCAAATAGCAAAGAAAAAACATCTTACGCGCTGAATGCTTCTTTGATGTTGATAAAACGATACAAGGCAGGTTCACAGATTAGTCCTTCACTCTGGCATGCTTCCACGCATGACTGGCCTTGTAGTGATGTCAAAAGCCGGAGTGCAGTAAGAGGAGGCCATGATGGGAAAGAGCTGGCATTGGAGCCCCATTTAAGCATTTTTGAGTTAGGCAAAGGGAGGAAGGGCCCTTTGAGCAAATCCCACGATGTGTTTACTGGAGGAAAGGGAACCTCGGGTGAGCAAAAGTCCTGCAGATCCAAAGATTCACAAGTCACAAAAAAAGAAAACAGTTAAATTCTTGTTGAATACAGTAACGTCTCAAAGAAATAAAAAATGTAATGTAACTTTTTTTTGTTTTTACAGTGAAACAGTTTCAATACACTTTGCATCACTGGAGTTAGCATCACTGCAAACAAGGAGCCCTAACATAGGTAGGCAAAACAACAAAAGAGCCTGCCATAAGTGTGTGGTTGTGGGAGATCTAAAGGCAGATGTGCAAACCATTTCAGTTCAGCCCAATTAAAAAGACAGAATTTTGTGCAACTAGCAATTTAATACTAGTACACCCACCCACCCCTGCAGTCACGATTTAAAGGATGTGTAAGAGGCGACCTTAAAATGTCCCCCTTTTGCCTGATGGTCCTCTGTTGGTGGATGTATTGACATGAAGGTACACTCTTCAATAGATACAGTATGACACTGCACACATAGCTTTGTTTTCATGACATATGGAAACATTTCATTGACTTCCAATCATTCTATAGTTATGTTTACCCTAAACATAACTATTACCAACACATATCTAACCCTAATCCCATACCATAATACCATACATGTATATATATATATATTTTTTATTTTATTTTATATACTCTAATAATCCCAGAGGGAAATTACTTCTCTGCATTTAACCCATTCCCTTGGGGAGCAGTGGGCTGCCATTGTGAGGTGCCCGGGAAGCAGTGTGAGGTTAAGGGTCTTGCTCAGGGACCCAGAGTGGCAGTCTGTGGGAGTGGGGGATCGAACTCACAATCTCAGGATTCCCATATGTACCTGTAAGTCCCCTACATGCAGGTAAAACACGTCCACCCACACACACTGAATCTTGGTTCTTTAAAGGCTCTGTGATGGCTGTACTCTGGTTTCTGTTAATATTAAATTCATTTATTTTTGTAAACATGCCACAATTTTAAATTTCAGTCATTGTGCTATTATTTTGGTTTATTTGCATAAAGACGGTCTGCAGTCCTGCTGAATTATTCTGCTGGCCTGCACGGACATCTTATTCCCCACTGATGTTATTCTACAACAGTTTTCCTGACCTTCAAAATATATTAAAAATGCTTACAGAAAGTATGTCCTTTTCTATACTTGGTTGAGCTCCTGTTGCATGAATTCCGTGCACGTGGTATGGGGTAATTGTCCTGTTGCACTGTATAATGAAAGCCCACATAGCTTTGAAAGTGTCCTTCGGATCCCTTTGTGTGACTTTTTTAGGGTCTGGCCTTTCATGTTTTGAATTACATAGATTTATGTCCATAGATTTGCTATTGGGTTCAGGTCAGGAAAATCTGCTGGTCAGTCAAGAAGAGGAACTCAATGGTGATTGAACCAACTTGGCAGCTTGGGCAGGTACAAAGTCCTTGTAGAAAATAAAACCAGCATCCATATAGTCAGCAGAGGAAATCATGAAATACTCTAGAATTTCCTGGTAGATAAAAATATTGATTGTGGAATCAGAAAACAAAGGGGATCAACACCAGAAAATGACACGGTACGCCCAACCATTACTGACTCTGGAAGGCTCACAATGGACTTTAAGTAACATGGATTCTGATCTTGTCTTCGCTTACTACTGTGGTTCATACTAATGAGCGCTGCAGTTCTATCTGTTGCTGGTGAACCTTCACCTACCACACTTCTTCCTTTAACTAAATTTTCTGTAAATACAGAACTTGGTCAACAACCAGCTGACCTTTTATGGTCCTTTTCCCCCCTTTTGAGTGGTTTCAATGATTAAAGTTCTCAAAGAAACCATTTGCATTTGTCTATGAAATAAAATCCCAGTTCAACAATGAAAGATTATGGTTGTAACTTGATAAAGTGTAGAAAAAAAGAAAGCAGAGGAAAAACTTTTGCAAGACAGACTTCTCCAATGAGGTAGCGACAGCTGGGTAAAACTGAGGTTCTCATAGAACCTGTTGTCATTTAAGCCTGCACTTAATCTATAAAATAAATCTGTATGATTTGTTCATAATTGCAAATCATTCTTACAATTAATGCTCAGTTTTAAATGTGACCAAAAAAGAAAGTACTAACTGTATCTGACAAGTTCTGACAATTTACATGGAGCAAAACATTTTTCCGAATAACAAATAAGACGTTGAGGCTGAACTCTACTGCAGTGAGTCACTAGATTAGATTTCCCCCCCTAGCTGGGCCTATTAATAAAACCCAGGTAATAACATCTCTCTGACATGTCCCTCTGGCCTCTGGACCCGTTTATTAAACAAGCTCCCATGCCCACAGGCAATAACCAAGCTTCCAATCTCACAATCTCTGCTGCACCTACTTTCCTAAACACAGGTGACATTGTTGATCCCTCTTCTTTGCATGTACATGAAAAAGTACAAGGCACAGAAAGGATTGCAACTGCAAATCTTAATTTATACATTTGAAAATGTGTGGAGTTTAATTTTCTTTTCTTTTTTTTACCTGTGATCTTACAGTAATCATTTTTTCAATACCTGACTTCCCCCTCTCAAGGTTACCTTTTCAAGCCTAAAATCTTGTGAAAATTATGATAATGGGAGATTTTAATATTTTAAAGCAGTTACCCTTTGATCAGCATGCAATTGCTAGTTTTGATAGATTTGTTCTTGAGAAACTCTATAGGTGTATTATTTAATTATTATTTATTTATTAGGATTGGGCACAGGCAATATCATAAATGTTACTATGCTGAATACAACAACTTTTTGTTTGTTTTTCTGGATAAACCTAGGACTGAGACAATCTAAAACAAGCCCAAAGTACCATTTCATCCCACCGTCATTTTTGGTTTAGATAACATTTAAATAAAGCATTATATTCAGTTATGTCTCCAGCATCCATGTTATTAAAAAGGCCTCATGTGAGTTGCTTATCCATATTAAAGAATCACTGTGCTGCTATAAGACTCTCTGGCGTGATCATTGAAGTTGGACTGTAGCTCTGCCAATGAAAAGGGAAGAGCAGATGCTTTGCAGTGACATGACAAGGTAGATAGGTTCAGGGAAAATACTAAAGGATGTGTAAAAATAAGCTGGGGTTAGAACAGTTGTGGCTGACCATTAAATTCTAAAATTCAAATATTTCGAAATATATTTTTTACATGTGCAAGATAAATATTTAATCAATAATGACTAGTAAAGTTTTTTTGTTCCTCGATGGATTGGTCACGTATTTCCGTCCTAGGGTGCAGAAATCCTTAAAAGTTGTACATGTGCAGTAGCTCCTCTTCAATGCAAAAGATAGGATAATCCGGGGCACAGCTCTCCCGTGCCCAGAGCTGAACGCAGCTTTATTTGCACACCACCTCACGTCATAGCGTTGACGTCACAGTTGTTTGTTATAAGGTACGGCTGATTGACTGGTTTATATAATTATTTAGCAATGAGGCTTGGCTAACTGCATGCAGCAAGGCCGAAATTTTATTCTGCTTTCCCTGCCTCCTTTTTCAAACATCTGGATCTGACCCAGCATGTATTACGATAGGTGTTACTGATTTAAAGCACTTTTCAGAAAGTTTTTTAAAGTTGTTTTTTTGTTGTTGGCTTTCATGTAAATATACTGGTGTGATAACTTAGTATACATTTCATTAGTTTTTGGTATAAGTCTATTTTGAAGTTATAGCCCCCCTGTAGAAAACCACACCAGCCACCACTGGGTTAAAACTGATAAAGGTTACATTGTGAGAAAAGACAAAGTGAAAAAAAAAAATGGCAGAAGGAAAAGGGACAGGGCTCTGACTTGAAATCTGCAATTTAGGTTTGTGACCTCAGTCAGTCACAGTTAGCGTTAGCATGTTGGATTTATTTCTGACCCAAAAAAATGGCTACAAGGTACAGCGGAGGGTAAAATATAACTTTCAGCTGTGAGAGCAAACGCTTTTGAAAGAGTAACATGACATGGCTTAAGGTTTATGTTTGTAAATATCATTTAAATATAATGATTTTTGGACGGATGTAAATAATTCAGCTGCAAATGATTGATCAATGCATCTCTGTTATAGTGGAGCTTAAAGAGTGCACAATGGGAAACAGTGACAAGGCTTACATTGCTTTCAGCTAGCAACTCAAAAGAAGGCAACAGGTGACTCGGGCTGTGAGGAAGAAAGATTAGTGATGAAATAAAAATTTCTCATTAAATAGAAATTTAGACCAACAACTCAGTGTACACGTGAATGCAACAGGAGAGAAAAAAACTGTGCAGAGGGAACAACACATTATAAATGACTAATCCTTTCAACATTTCTCAGAACACATGCTGAAATAAATACACTTATCCCAAAAAAACGACTAAATATATTCTACCATTAACTTTGTAAGAAAGAATCATCCTTTGTGTTTTTTCACAGTCAGGTGCATCAGAAAATGAAGGATCTGAGTGTTCCCACTGGCTGGCATGTATTCAACATTGATCAATGCAATATCCAAAAAACAGTTCAGACAAAAAATATATCCATCTCTAATGAAAAAAAACAATACAATTCCAATAAGAACTCCAGCTGTCTATGGGTGAGACACAGGGTACACCCTGGACAGGTCGCCAGTCCATCGCAGGTCAACACAGAGACAAAGAGGACAAACAACCATTCATGCACACACTCACACCTAAGGAGAATTTAGACAAGTCAATTAACCTAACAGTTATATTTTTGGACTGTGGGAGGAAGCCGGAGTACCCGAAGAGAGCCCACGCATGCTCAGGGAGAACATGCAAACTCCATGAAGAGAGACCCCGGGCCGGGAATCGAATCCAGAACCTTACACGATACACCACATGACATGAAATATGGAGTATCAGTATAAACAAGTGTTAACAGTTGTCTGAGGAGCACAACTGCTGCAGCTCTTAAAGCTCTAAGAACATAGTTGTCAATTTTAGTTAGTAAAAAGTATCTAAACTACAATAGTGCTCTTCCAAATAACTGCATTTACAAGTAGTACTCCACCTCTATGGTGGTAGATTTGTGTCTTTATTAAGCAACCATAAAAGGTTGCTTCAGTGAAAAAGAAAATGATCAAACAAAGAAAGTTCAAATGAAAAAACAAACACCAAAAAAAAAAAATTTTGAAGGGAAGGTTTTTTTTTTTTTTAAATGTAAAACCTTATGGAGTGGTTTTTCTTTTTAGACACAAACATCCCACAGTGGGTAGCAGAGCAATACAGGTCTAGAGTTCCACACCAGACAAGACCCCAGGTTTAGACTGCGCAAGGAGGCCACAATTCAGCACATAACCGCAGGGTGTAAGATGCTGGCAGGGAAAGCTTACAAGGAGAGCGATAACCAAGTGGCTGGAATAGTGTACAGGAACATCTGTGAAGATTAAGGGCTGGAAACCCCAAGGTCAAAGTGGGAAACCCCTCCAAAGATGGTAGTGAATGACTGAAATCCTGTGGGACTTACAGATACAGACATACTGAATGGTAATGGCAAACCAACCGGACATTGTGGTGGTGGACAAAAAGCAGGGGAACAAAGCAATACCAAGTGACTGCAACATCAGGAAAAAGGATTATGAGAAACTAGAGAAATACCAGGGGCTCAGTGAACAGCTGGAAAAAAACATTTAAGGTCAAGGCATCAGTTGTGCCCGTAGTCATTTGGGCACTCGGGGCTGACCCCCAAACTTGAGGAGTGGTTACAGCAGATCTCTTGAAATACATCAAACATCTTGGTCCAGAAAAGTGCAGTTCTAGGAACAGCAAAAATACTGCGCAGAACCCTCACTCTCCCAGGCCTATGGTAGAGGACCAGAGTTTGGAAGAAACAAAGGGAGACCGCCCGCGGTGGGTGAGGAAAAGTTTTTTTTTTTTTGTTCATCCATTATCTTCTGATCTGTTAGGTTCATCCTGCATATCTCCAGCAGTCTATGGACCAAACTAGGGATACACCTAAGACAGGTTGCAAGTTGCAAGTCTGTTGCAGGTTCACACAGCGACACACAACCCTGAACACCCACACATCTGAGGACAATTTAGAGATACAAATTTACCTAACAGTCATGTTTTTGGACTGTGGGACGAAACCGGAGTACCCGTAGAGAACCCAGCATACACAGAGGGAACATGCATACCCAGTACAGAAAGACCCTGGGTCGAGGCCAACTTCATCATTTTCCAGTGTTTCATGTCATAAACAATGTATTTACAGAAACATCTAAATCAACATCAAAGTTAGGTTTCCTAAGGGGTCTTCCTGCATTTTTCACCTCAAAGCACCGTTTAATGTGTTCTGGCAATATTGCAGATTTTTAAATCAAACAGGGATTTACATAGAAAAGCATACTGTATGGATGTAGAATATAAAAACAGCCCTCTTGCTCTTGGCGTATTGGTGTATAATCTGGACCCCAAACCATCATTATGCTGAATACCCACCTGATTCTGAATATAGGCATGAACCCTTTCAAGCATTCCTTCACATGTATATTCATAGGGCAGGAACGGCTCCACCTGCAGAAAATTGATGATGATGAAGAAGAAACAGAGGAAGTCAGTGTGTTGTTGGTATGTATCTGCATGTTTAGAGCTAAACCATTGTAATTACAGCAGCTGAGCATCTACTAGTTATTCCCAGCTGACATATTCATTAGTGTAATTGTAGGAGACTTAAATCATGCCACAAGTTTCGCATAAAAATCAATGACCTAATACATCAAAGGTGGCAGTCTTGAAAATTAATTTCATTATTATATTTGGCGATGACTACATCAATAAATCATACAATGGATTAAAGATCCTGGAGCACGAGGGTGTTTTAATACAATCTGGACCATGCTTGTGCTTTTATTGGGGGGGCTTTTGACGTTTTTGGGTTCTGCTGGTAGAAAATGGTTTGAAATTTTCTGAGATGCTAATCGGTTAAACTTTTTTTTTCTCTGTTTGATACACTTGACTGAGAGGATTCACAACAAACTGGTGTCTTTCGAGACAGATAAACTACATTCGGAAGCTGTTGAAGTTTGATGAGATCAGGAATTATTTATTGAAATGATGAGCTATTTTGCCAGGTTCTCCTGTGGTAGTTTCTCACTTTAGATCCTCCTCATGGTAGCTAAACTACAACCTATAGTTCCGATCAGACCAACAGTGTTTTCCTTCATTTAAATTGATAAATGGTTCTTTTTAGTGTTCTGTTGCTTCTAGCTATCTCTTATTACATTATTTTATCCGAGTTAAATGAAATGTATCTGGCACCTCATCAGCTGTTCTCGGCTGCAATTTGCCTTTTGGGCATCTTTATATAATTGAAAGGAAGAAAAACAAATCATGTCTGGTCATTTGAATTTCTGTAAATAGAGCTTTTGTTTATGTAGGATAGAATTGTGCAGTGGAGGAAATATTAATTTGATCTGCTTTTGATTTTGTAAGTTTACACCAAGAGTACTTACTAAAGCAGTTCTTCATTTTAATGGAGACAGAAATTGAGGAAATTGAGGGGGGGAAATATATTACATTGGTTACTTGAATGATATTGTATGAAAAAGGGTATTTTACTCCCTAGAAGAAAAGCAACAAAATACCAGTACCAACACAACATGATGCTGCCCAACCTGTACTTCACAGTTGTGATGTTTTTATTTCTATTTTGTATATATCATTTTAATTGCTATTTCAAGCTAAACACTAAGATTTCAGTTTAATGAAGACAAAGGACATGTCTACTAAAAAAGAAATCCTACTTTCTAACTCAACGCACTAACGTCTGTCTTTATGCTGGTGTCAGACTAACTGCTCCTTCCTTTCTAAGCAGCCTTTAAAACGTCAGAATTTATTTTATTCTAAATTATAAATAATTTGTAGAGACTTGAATGGAATTTTCAAGATAATTCTAATCTAGGCTTGATAATTTCTAAATGTTTTACATTAATTCACATTTATTTCTTGGATACAGCACCTCTGTCCTTTGTGAGTGGTGTTATACAGTAGATAGACACTTGCATATCACAGCTTAAACAGGTGAATGCAGCACTGTAAGGCATCTGGATAAAAGCTGCCATTAAGTATGCACCATACTCTTAGAGGTGTATTCTTGATCTCTTGCCTGATTTATTTTACGTTTTGCTCGAAAGCTAAAACACTGAAAACATTGTTTGAGATTTTATAAAATGTTTTTTTTTTTCTTTACTACATTTGAAATTTTAAATCAAATGTTCCACCTTTGCTTTGCTAGCTTACTTTGCATACTGTGTGCAAGAGTTGATTTAGCACCATCCAAAGGTAACACAATCCACCTATCATCACAAAATAATTACCATGTCCACACAAAAGCAAAGTCTTACCAAGCAGACTAGTTGCTTGGCAACAGAGGCTGTGGGAACTTCTCCCATTGCTCATAGCCTATAAAAAGTCAAACGCAAAGCCCCTTGAGAACTTTGAGACCTTGGCATTTTGTTGGACCGAATGCAGGATGTGATGTGTTGACGATGATTAAAGGCCTTAGTGGGTAGATTTTGTGATAGAGCCAGATAAGCTTTTTACATTGTTGACTAAAGTTGAAAGTGGCCAGCCTAATCAAAAAATCCCTCAAACCCTAATAACCTTAATAAACCTTAAATATATACAAATCATAGCATTTTTTTGTATCTATGTTTAAGATTTTATTTGTTTTTTTTTATTCATTTTTACTAGCAACAAAACATAAGTGACACCTGATTCCTGTTTGGTTTTTGTGTGTAATAATATAATCTCCAGCCTGTGCTCTTCTGCCATTATTCATTTTGCATGTCGAGTATTGCAATATCTTCCCGTTGAATCAGCACTTTAAGGTGTCTAACAGGGTTACGACTTGTACTTTGTTTTGCCTCTATCAGCAGGAAACACCTGGCTGGTAGAAGTGCAGATGCGTTTCTGCACAACGAGAAGTTTGGCAGTGACTCTGGGTTGTTCTGGTGACAGATTGAGAACAGCGTGATTGATTCATTCAATGTAATGCAAACAACGCTCGCTGCCTGTGGGGCTAGCCTTCAGAAAGCTGCTGTGTAAAACCAGGTGTGGGCACAGTTTACCAGTGAAGCCACTCAATATCTGCAACAATTAGAAGCGAAGAGAGCAGAGAGGAAGCCAGCTAAGCAGTCTGTTATAATGTCAGCTGTCAAGATTAAGAGAAGGGTCAAAAAAGTAGGTCAAAGCAAGCTGAAAGAACTCATTACAATCACAATGTGTTTTAATATGTAGCAGCATGCACTTTAGTTTAGGCAGAAAACACATGCAGTTAACGTACATCGATCTTCATGATCTCACGTATGGTTGCTTCAAATACTTCAGAGTTATTGAAGTCAATGGTGATGACATGCGGCCTGCCGATATACTCCTCTGCGTAGGGATGTTGAGAGGACACCTGTGACAGGCATAAAAAGGACTTTTTTAAAATCACAGTAAAAGTAATTTGTTCAGACTAAACTATGAAGTGTTCTTCTTAGTGGATTTTCTTATAGTCACATTTTGTCAGCTTATAGCCACAAACTTCAGTACCTTTTATTGGGATATTAATGTGATACACTAAGGCAGTAGCACAAACATTTGCAATGCATAAAAAAAAAAAAAAGCCTGTGTCAATTTTGCTATAAAAGGAAAAAAACTGAAACAAATTGTGTTCAGCCGAAACGAAAACTTTCACCTTGAGTCTCCCTCATGCTTATTACTGTAAAATGTGAGGGTAAGTTTCCACCACTTTTTAACATTATATAGATATATTTTTAAGCTGAACATATATTTTTACCTGATCACACTTTGAAAAATACCTAATTCTCATTAAAACTTTATTGCTGCAAAAGGGTAATTTCAATTACATCTGTAATTGTGTTATGTGCAATTAACAGTCATGTTAGAGTCTTTCTAAATAAAAAGATCAGATTCAAATTTTAACTACTACTCTGCCATTTTAACACACATGCATACCCTAAGGGTTCTAGTCATATACTGTAGCTTGTGTTGTGTTGTCCTGCTGGAAGTTAAGCTTTTACCCGTGTCTGAGGTCCTCCAACATGTTTTTTTCCAGCATTGCAAAGGTTTTAGCTTCATCTGTCATCCTATTAACTCAGATTCGCTTAATGTGATACTGCAACCACCATGTTTCATCAAAGTAAGAGTTTTTTTTTTTCAGAGAAAGGTTTAGTTGGTTTTCTTTCACACATTGTTTTGCATAGTAGTCAAGTTATTTTGTTTCAATGATGTCTGACCAGATAACTTCTAGCACTTGAGTGACAAATGTGACTTCCTTTGCTTTTCTTACTAAAGTTTATTTCTTTCTGGTTTTGTTATATACAAATCTTTGAAGGGAATGATTAATAATTAAAATGTTTATTACCATGTTGAAGGGGTGATTGAATGAGTGTAGTAGTAAAACACTGTGAAGTCCTTAAACTTAATAAAAACCTTTCCAAAATTAGGCCATTTAGCATGTTATCAATTCAGTTTCAATAGCAGTTAGTTGCACTAAATTTTTAATTTGAGCAAATCTAACACATTTTTTCCCAACAAAACACATTAATGTTTGGATTTGTTATCGGAGGTAATGTGAAGTGGTCAATATTTTTGCAACAAATTTCACATGTAGAAAAGCAGGCATGATGAAACTTAAACAAACCATATTTTAGTTATGCTAATGTATCAGAGCTTTTTCAGCCATCGGGTTCATAACAGCTTCTAAAACTGGGTAAATATATCCCCAGCACACTCATATAAGTTACAGCTCCTGATGCCCTTAGATAACTGCCTTAAGTAATGATTAAAAAAGTAGAGCTTTTGGAGGGTTGTTCATCTCAAGAATACATGTTCTATTTAACACAAGATAAATAAGCATTTGTTGCTTCTGAACTTAATGAATGGAAAACATTTGAGCCAACTCCACATTTATTCAGACCGAATGTCTCACCAAGTTTCCCTTTGAGGTCAAACTGTAAAAACATAAGAAAAAAATGCAAAATACTGCAGTATAAACCAAAACACTGAAGTTAAAAATGTCTATGCAAAAACCTTATAGGGACGTTTTAACAAGCTAAGCCTTTTGAATACACCGGGAAACATCGCTTTGTCTTTGCTTTTTTCCTCTTGCAACAACAATCAAAGAAGTGTTTTACAAAATACAACCTAAAGCAAGACCTGATTTGTTTATAACAAAATACTATGTTATGATTCATGATAATGTGCATTAATAAAGCAAATCTCACCATATCCGTATGTATATTTTATGGAATAATTTGATATTAAGAACATTTGATCATTACATTATCCCTATGTACTCTGTAAAGAACAAACTCAGAAGTATAAAGAAAATAATGATCATTGTTTATAAAACTTAGCTCTTTGGTAGAGCTGGACTGGACTACAGGCAGTATAAGCAAATGGTAGGGGGGCTGTAGCTCTGTTAGGGTGCACTGGGTGCATCAAGTTTTTTGTTTGTTTTCAAACAGTCTATAACTAACATGCTATATATAGTTTTATTTATTGAGTTTAACAAACCACTAGTCAAACAACACCTTGTCAGCAGTGCAGAGTATTCCAGTCGGTGCACCCTGCTACCAAGATACCAGCCAGACAGACAACACAGAGAGTGTTAGCTTAGCTTTATCAAGCACCCAGTAGCAACCAACCCAACAGACACTTCCACACACACATCAACTGGCTGGCCATCACCTCAAAATGCCCTTCTTGAAAAAATATTTACCTAGCTTGGTTTGGGATAAATATTATTCAGATATACAGATATAGTAGTCGGTATGTAAATAATAATAACAATAAAAATGTAGGAGCTGGTATAATATTATCTAAAGCGAAATATAAGACTGTCTAGTTTCAATTTCCCAATAGTAATCTAATATTGTTCAGTCATACTTGTAATAGTTGAAAAGCTTCCATTGCAATGTGTTTTGAGCTGCTATGATTAACCAAGGTCTACTCCTACTTTTTCTGTAAATATTGACAGAAGGCAGGCCTAATAAGGCTTATCATAAGTAAAACTTAAACCCATTAAATTCTTTTCAGAGGTGTTTTTTTTGTATCTTTGAAACCCAGACCAATTGGGGCTATAAAACATCTGTGTTTTATAGCTTCCTTGTTGATTCTTTCTGTGTTTAAATCATTTAGCTAAATTTCTAAGTGAGAAATAATGTTTATTGGACCTGAAATAAATTTCTGCCACCAGCAAATACTGCATTATTATTTTTGGGGTGGATTGTGGTTCTTGTCGGGAAGGGGATGATAAAACATATTTGTGTCTGGGGTGCTTAATTGGCAAGGCCCGACCCTTCTCTTTGGCTCTGCCCAATGAATAAGGAAAACTATCAAAAACAGTTATTACAATTTAGTCTTTATGTAGAATTGAGTTTTACTGCACTGAGCCTGAAAGTTGTATTTCATTCAAAACCATGGGTAATTAACCTTTTAATGTTTGTTAATATAATAATATACATGGAAATAAAAGTTTTTATGCTTTGCTTAAAAATCAAACAGTTATAAAAATAAAGGATTATAAAAAGCAGGACTAAAAATAAAAAGAATGAACTTAGAGTGAACTTAGAGGAATATGAGAGCAGCAGAATGGTGGCAGAGGTAGCTAATGCATCAGTAAGGCCATGTCAAAGATCTCTATCACCAGAATTCATTGCACCACATTCCAAAATGACTATGAAACTTGGCTGCATACAAATTATGAGGTCAAATTCATATATGGCAAGCAGAATAAAAAAGCTGCAGTTCATTTTCTGTTTTGTTCCAACTGAAGAAGTGAAGCTTGTTGGAGGATAGAGGTACATGGAAGAACTTTCAGGCAGCAGCACCAATAAAAAAAACAAAATATTTGTTCCCAAGATGTAAATAAAGTAGTAGCACACATTTCAAATGTCGGCTTTATGCAGATACAGTGCCATTTTTTAAACTTTATAAAGTATTACTAAGTTTTACATAAGGAGGTATATTTTATTCAAAGATAATACACAAACATTTCTTCTTTGTTATTTTATATTGAGTAGCATGCCAGTGTTAAAAAAAGACCAGTTCGCAAAGGAGGTCAATGTGACATTTGTAACAGAAAATTCTTGCAGCAGACACTGTCTTTATGATGAAAAATTATGTGATTTAATTGGTTCTGCATCTAGAAATGCTTCTACCCGAAAGCGACATCCCAGACTCTACAGACCTCAGTTAGCATGATAAATGTTAAAGTTTATGACAGTTTAATTAGAAAAAAGGAGGAACAAGTATGGCCTACTTTAGAAGGCTTTCATGAGGAGTATGTCTATTCTCCCTATACAAAAAATGTGCTGACATGTTTGCAAAGTTAGATCTTAAGAAACCTATCCTTTGAACAGATGAGACTAATATCAAGATGTGTGGATTTTATGCAAACCAAAATTCTACTGTAAATCAGCCGAGTGAGCTGAGCTCATTCGATTTAGCAAACACTCGGTATCTGTCTTACAGACAAATTCTGTAAAACTGTATTAAACCCTTTTGCAAAGTTAAATGTTAAACTAACTGAAGAGTCATTATAAATGGTTATAGTGCAAATTGAAAAGAAACGTTACTTCATTGTGGTCTGTTTTAGCAAAATTGAATAAACCTCAGCTAGAAGATTTTTGAGTTTTAGTTTACAGTGTTGTGAAAAAAACACACTCCCCACAACAGACTTAAGCAAGAACATCATGCTCTCCACACTGAAAGACCAGGGTTTCCTCTAAAAATAGGCTCTGCATTGTCCCTTCTTGTAAACAGCATTATTGTTATATTTTGTTTGCACCCTAGTCTGTCATCCAGAGTCCTTTCTATAAATCCACTCCTCAAATCCATAATCATTCCACTGGACTTCCTTCAACTGAAGATAAGATGAATGTCATAAAACAGTCCACTCAGTTTCTGACAACTACAGTATTATCAGTCCATTGTCTGCAGATGAGGTGTTATTGTAATAAGTGTTCAAAGTGCTGTGCCATGTGTTGCTTCTGTACAGCTAACTACAGGATCAGATATTCATTATCAACATATTATTCACAAATAAACACACCAACAAATATGTACAGTTCTCTTCAGTTGTCCCCCCTCTGAACATAAACTACGGGCTTATCTACACTTGAAGACGCTTGCATCTATGTTAAAGAGGCATCTAATTTACACACACAACAGCACACACACACATTATGATCTCGCTATATGTAGTTTCAGTTCAATTCAATTCAGTTTATTTATATAGCACCAATTCACAACACATGTCATCTCAAGGCACTTTACAGTTCACAAGATCATACTTTCAGATTGATTTAAAGTTTTCTATCTAAGGAAAAGCAATTGATTGCATAGACTCATTGACTCAGATGCAATCCCTCAGACTAAGCATGCTTGTAG